TAATGCATCCCCTTTTTAGAATTTAGAAGGTGGAAGTTTAAAATCTAAGTCTCTATTATAGTCTTCAAGAAACTTTGATTAGTCCACAAAATTTCCTATATTAATACTTTGAATTAGAGTGTTTAGCCTTCAGTAACTCAAACATAAATCAACTACCCATATGTCCTTCTATATCTACATCTTTTGTTAAACTTACCATTGAAGAATTTGCTATTGTTAAGGATGCATATAACTCTTTTTATATTTGCTGTTGAAGAAAAACCTTTTTACTCCGGATTGATGTATCACTCGAATCTACCATAAACTCATGTAGCTAAAACTCTATTCTTACAATTAAATTTAATGCAAAATGTTTTTAAAAGATCTCCATCATAGTAACCCAAAGTGACCCCATACCTTAAACTCTTTACAGCATTCTAGGTTGAATCCCAAAGAAAACATATAAAGATTCTACCAATGACTCCATTTCTAGTGACAATTCTTTCCTTTGATATCTTACTATCTCCATCATAACATCATTGCTATTGGATTTTCAACCATATCTAAAACTAGGGAAAATAAAAAAACCTTACAAGAAAATTTAAGTCATTAATGATAGTAAACTCTTAGAGTTGTAATTTTAAATTTTTATAAAAAAAATGATTTAAGGCTTAATGGTTTTTAGAGCTGATGCATGTACTAAAATTGGGTTAGTATATAGCAATGTGGGCTGCAAGAGATAGGCAATTTAAATCCACTATGGTGCTCCAATGACACTATGGCAATTCTTGTAGCAACCTCAATTACAAGATTTGGCTACTACTTGAGTTGCCATGTGAGGGGAGTAGTGCCATGGGCTCTTATGTAGTAGTGCCATGGGCTCTTATGTAGCAGCTTAGACCATAGCCAAGCTTATCTAGCCAGCCCAACCTGCCACATCAAGGGGAATAGTGCTATGGCTCCCCTTATGGTAGCTCGAGTTACAACCAAATATTGCAATCAAAGTTGCCATTGAGGGGGAGTTACTTTATGTCTTCCTTGCAGTAGTTTAGATGGTGATGAGTTTGGCTAGCTTGAGCTGCTCTATGAAAGTATATGGCACCATAGCTACTTTTGCAGAAGCTTAGGTGACAAGTTTAGCCACTATAATTTGTCAAGTGGTCTAGTTACTGATCCTCATTTTTTTTAGTTTTATACTTGCACTTTTTAGACTTTGCCAACTTGCTAAAACACATGTAACAAGGTAATATTTATTGAGAATATTGCTATCAATGCCATAAGAAACATAGGCATAGTATAGGTGAGAAAACCTTTCTCAAACTTTATCAAGCTGAGCAAATTAAACATCCTGAGTGGATCAAGAATCCTAAACTACCTAGAGATAAATTTGAGGAAAAAAAAGGAACAACATATAAATAATCAAAAAAGAATAATTTGAGAGATAGTCTATTAGGGTAAAATATAAAGGGAAAGGGCCCATAAATAAAAGTGCACCCTCTTTTTTAATAAATGAAAAATTTTGCAGTTAAATATTTTTGAGTTGGGTTAATTCATTGGTTAGTGAATCACACCTTATATTAAGATTGATATCTAGCAATCCATTTTGCTCAAAGATGTGAACTTGGAGAGAAATGTGGGGGATTGTAAATAACTAAAGAGAAAAACTTAAAAGATGGTTTATTGAGGTTTAAATATAAAGGGCAAAAGCCCATAAACAAGAGTGCACCCAATTTTTTAATCAATTAAGGGTTATGGGATAATTGAGGTTTAAATAATATTGAGCTAAATGACCTCTTAGAAAGTTTGAATTCAAAAGCTTATATAACATATAAAATAGAAAGTTGATAGCCTTGATCATTTGGAGAGTTAGGTTACACAAAGAAAAGTGGTTATAACAAGAAGAGGAAGATGATGGCTTTGATGGATTTCAATTGTTCTTCAAAGTTCCAAATGGAAGTTATCCCAAATTTGCTACAACACTTGGACAATAGAACCTCACCCCCATTTTCATGTTTAAAGATCTCTTTACTAAAATCCTCTTCATGCATAAATTCTTCATCCACTTAATGATTTTTAATTTGGATTTCCCGAGATGTCACCGTCACCCAGTCCAGTATTATTCAAACCCAAAGATGCTTAATCCCAAATATCCCAAGATCCTTAACCAATTGAAAAAGGGGATGCACTCTTGTTCATAGACTCTTTCCCTCTATATTTGAATGGATTGTTTCTAAAGTCGTTCTCTTTGGTTGTTTATAATCCACCACGCTTCCTTGCAAGTTCACACCCTTATGAATGGAAGTTAAGAGCCACAGCTCTCCCGAGAACTTTGCTCTCTTGACACCCTACCCCTGAGGTTGAGCTTAGTCGAGAGCAAATTGGACCTATTAGATGTCAATTAACATGTGATGTGATTCCCCTAGCTAACCAACAGAGTCAGACCCGAGACTTCTCTGATAAAAAATGTAAACTTCTGAATTTAAACTTCCCAAGAGGTCACTAGGCATAAACTTCAATAATAGGTACACCCATTTCTTCTCTATATTCTTTGTTGTCATAATTCTCTAAATAGATGCTAACAAGATTATAAACAAGCTTATAGATGAGGAACAAGTCCAACTTAACATGATAGTAGTCAAGAAAAACCAATTTAGGAAGCATAATAGTTATATCAAGTTCTCTTGATATGTCTACATGCACATCTTATTCAAGGTACTTAAATTTGCTAAAGCATTCATTTCAAGTTTCTTAGTATGACATCAATAAAGACTTGGAGAGATTGAAGAAGAAAAATGTTGATATTGAAATTGTTACTCAAGAGGAATTTTATTTTGATGTTAGTATTGCAAATGAATTTTGTAGAACTTTTAAATTGTGTTTAGTTTTTGGGGCAACATTGTAGACAATTAAGATGGTAAAGGCATTTTTTGAAGCTCACTTTGCCCTACTTAAAGATAATATATCAGAGTCAAGAAAAGGCTAGGGTTTTAGAAGCAAGAAACAAATATGTTTAGTGTTTTCCAGTTAGTAATTAATTTTTTGATGTAGATTAAAGCTACTATTATTCTGCAAGAAAATGGAAGGGGAAAAGTGGTTTTTTTTCAAAAGCTAAAAGCTTTGATAGACATGGTTATGCAATGCTTTTGTTGTGAGGGTAGTTATATCCTTCACTTCTTCACTGACACAAAGGTTTCCTTAGTTGTTGCTTGATGCAATGGTCGTAGTGCCTTTGGACTATTGTGATCCAACATCATATAATGGTTTTAGTGTGTTATCATGAAGAAAATTCTTGATTGATATACCCTACATGAAGGTTATGGAGACACATCTAAAGCATTATAACATGCATGTTAAGGAGAAGTTAGTTTTCATGTCAAAACTTGTTAATGATCATACATAAGAAGAAGAGAGAAACAAAAAAGATAAGAGAGAAGAAGAAAACTTAGTACTTTTATATTTGTGGACTGAGATATAATTTTCTATAGTTATAATAACATTGGTATTTTATAGCTATTATATAAGGTATAGATGTGAGTGCTTGGAATATGGAAAAAGAATACAAAAAATGTGCATATCAATTAGCCCAAAAACCTTAGCTTATATACAAGAGCGAGTGGATGGGATTGAAACCAATTTGACGGCTACCAAAATCCCACTATGCTAATATTAGTATATGGCATCGTAGCCGTACACTTGGCCCTCACATAGAATAATTATTATATAATTAATATATAGCTATAATAACAAAATATAATCAATTTTAATTCATTTCACAAGAATATTCTTAGCAACAATGAAGTTGTGTCTTTATGCTTTAATAGGTGATCTCAAGGAAGTTAATAATTTTTAAAGAGAAAAGCAAGTGCCAAGACAAAAACCATACAAAAAATAAAATTTAAGCTAGGACTAAACTAGGACGCTGTATAAGTCCATATTAATTTTAGTGGATTAATATAGAGTAAAGCTATGATAACTTTTGGAGCTTTGAATGTATTAAGAAGGAACCAAATGATAAATCTTATCACAAGGATTTCAGCTATAATTTCAGCTATTCCCTTAATTGATATACCCAGAGGTCAAGTTGTAACCAATACAATTCAAATAAGAAACGAAAATCATGGTGATTACACTATTACAGTTAATTATTGGATTTTTAGTATAACTCCTGGGTAAGACTTTTGGTGAATGTTCTATAAATCCAGCAGGTGATATAGATAATGGAGCTATTATAAAAAGGGAATTAGAAAATTTAGTTACATTATACCAAAATATATTAATTAATGCAGGCTCATCTTTTGTTACAATTATGACAAGACTATATGCTCTTGAGTATTCAATTGATAATTATAGACCATTTCCACAACCACAAACTAACAAACTTCAATATATAAATTATTATCAGTGTTTTGCTTTTAATAGTATGTTAGTAGGTGGTTATTTTGATATGCCCTACCAATATTTAAGCACTGAGCATTTTTTGATTTCTCCAAACAAGAAAGTAATTTTATATTTACATAATAGTTGTAATCTTGTTTTATATATAGGTAAATATAAAATATGGTCTACGAAAACATCAGGCCATGGTAAAAATTGTAAATTAAGACTACAAAGTAATGGAAAATTAGGATTATATTCAGAGGATGGTTTTATTGTTTGGTCTCCTAATAATAAAAAATGTCTAAATTGTTTTCTAAATATATATTTTATTGTTCAAAATGATTGTAACTTAGTTTTATACCAATCAATAAGTAAAGTATTATCTACTCGTCAACCTACTGTAATTGATTTATGGGATTCTAAATCTTATCCATGTTTGATTAATTAAAATTCATAATACTAGAAACTAATTGCTTAACTTGCTAAGTTTTAATAAATTTATTGTGTATGTCATACACACTTTAAAAAAACTCTTGAGAGAAAATGTATAATCTCTAATCACACGCTCCTGAGGATCACTGCTGGTGCATGGCACCTCGATTTGATTGCGAGAGTCCAGCTAAATTCCATGGAGGCCAAATCAATAATTCAGTCAAGGCTTTTGAGTTGAATAAACTGCATCTACATCTTCTAGTTCCAGTAGTTTATCGATCAAAGCCCTATTCATTTCCATTGCTTCATCATCAACCTGTAAAATCAAAAGAGAGGAGAAAAGGATCAATCCAAAGAAACATCCATGGAAATCTCTTTCATACCTCCACTAGCTCAGTTGGTACAAGCTCTAGACCCGAATTATCCATGTCAATCGAGAACCCCGCATCCTTGAGCCCAGCTTTGACACGCCCGAAATCATCGTTATCACCTTGAAGTACCTTACATCAACCAAGTTCCTTATTAAAAAAAAAAAAAAAGAAACACAGAATTCTACAAAGAAAATAGCTTACTTCTTCTCCTCTGGGCTTTCATCATCCTCCAATTCAGGTTCCACGATGTCCTCAGCTCCAGTGTCCATCGCCGCAGCCAGAAGACTTTCGGAATCCACATTGCCTTTCACAGCCACGACTCCAGCCCGTTTGAAGTTGAAGAGGACCGAGCCAGAGGCAGCCATCTTGGCATGGCTCTTTTTTATAACATCGCGAACGAAAGAAGAAGCTCTGTTCGTGTTGTCCGTGAGAACTTCCACCACGATTCCAACACCACCAAAGCCGTAAGCCTGCATTGTTTCAAACTCTCTTGCAAGCGCAAACAAAACGCAATGTGAGTTACCTCATATGTGATCTCCGTGAAATCCTGCTGGTCCTTGTCTTTTGCTTTCTTAATGTTGCGTTCTATGAGATCTTTCGAGACGTGCAGCTCCTTCGCTTTCTGCACTAGCGCTGCCAGTGTTAAATTCGATGACAGGTTTGTCCCGCCTTCCCTCGCCCTGAAAAAACCGATCCAATTAGCAACAAGCGAGAGAAAAAATCACAAATGCGATACGCTTGCGCTATCTCTTTGCCAAGCCTGGCATTAACTTTGTTTCTCTTCAAGCCCTGTGCCGCCTGCAGCACTGTTGATTACATTAGAAGCTTCAGACGAGAAAGAAAACGCTAACCTTCCTGTCCGCAATCTTGCAAGCTCGCCTTCCCATTTCCAGAGGAGCAGAGGTCCATAGACGCTGAAAACAACTCGCATTTCCTGCGGTGCTGCCATGACGAACATTTCCGCGATGTACTCTCAAGGCAGCAACAACTGCCTTCATCTGCAAAACCCTAAAACCCTAGAGATCGAGAACGTTTTTTTTTTCTCAAGTCCAGGAAGCATTATGTCTGCTTTGGTAGAAATCATGGTGATACTATCGTCAGATTTCAAGTATACCAAAACATCTCTCATCCCTTGATGCTCGTCCTACAAAGGAGGTTGTGAAGAAAGCCTTGAACACAACCATAGTGGCTACTGCTGGAGGATCATCATCCAACATTGCGGGGAATAATGTAACTGGGTCCATTCTGAGCCTGATGCAGAAGCCATGTATGTGCGAATGAGGAACAAGCGTCCATGTACTCAAGAGTTTGGATAAAGACAGCAGCAACAACATCACAATAGCATCACAAGCAATTAAATAGTGGTGGAAAGCACACTGATGATGGACTCCTTGTTTGAACAATGTAAGGAAAAGTTTGGACCAAAGCGCTGTTGGACTTGGACACGAGGTGAAGGATTGCCCGTCTATCACGGACATGAACCAGAGAATTGTACTCAAGCAAACATTGTTGAATTTGAGGAAGGTGAACCACATGAGAATGAATGTATGTATTTCTTCATGAATCTGTATATCTTATGATTGGATCACAGTGGATTGATTCACAACACACCATTTGTCAGCAAATAAGCTAGCATGCTTTCTCAACGCTTTTGAATGTATATGTTTGGCAGTCCCTCAACGTTTTACTTTATGCAAGTTCTCGCTTGGGGAATCAGTTCTTCATCAACATGTCCGGACTTAGTGGGCCTCTTGCAACTGGACTTTTCTTGAATGGAATTTCGCCATCTTCATTCCCTGATTCACTCGGTTGTACAGTCATTTGTAAGGTTTTGCCCGCAGGCTCTCTGAGAAGTCTGGCCCCACACTACCATTTCTGCATGACTTTTTGAAAAGTATATTCACTATAATTGAGAATCAAAACCCATACCCATAAAAATAATTTGCTACGTGTTGCATATAGTGTTTGGTTTGATTAATAGTAGTGTTATTCCTACTTATGTCCAATTCATCAAAATAAAAGGTTATAATTATAAGCATGTTTGTAATTTATAAACACAATATTTCTAGATGGTATAATAAAATTGAATATACTAGAAATTTTTTAAGAAAGTTTATAAATTATAAACATGTTTATAAATTATAAATATAAGATTAATCTAAATGAATAAGAACCGTTAGATGGTAGAATATTCTAAAATATCCAAATATATTCTAGGTATATCCACTACCACAGTAGACTTTATACTCATACTGTTTAACACAAATCCAATTTTAATTTATTAATAATTTCATTGTTTCTCTTTCGCTTGATGACGAACTTTTGACAATTCCAACACTAGTGAACTGTGAAAAGGTGAGCCTTGTCCTCACCCATCATACTGATTTGTCTTTAAACTCTCAAGAGAAAATTAGAATAAGAGCTAGGAGTGATAGTCTATTAAATTTAAGATTAAACTTAAGCCTTAATTTAAGGAAACTAAAGCTGGTGAATTGAGTTTGCAAAAAAATTTAAGCATTTTTGTTATTTTATTATGATAGGGTATACAAGCTTCTGTGTCCACATCAAAGCAACAAAATGCAAGAAAACCACATAATTTTATTATCACCATGTCCAATAATTGACAATTTAAGATTTTCTTCCTTAGTGCCCTTCCAATCTAATCTCAACTAAAAACTGATAAAAGGTTCCAATACCAATCTATTTGACCTAGCCCTGGACCATCATCTTCAGAGATCAGTGTTGTCTATTCTTTTGTAGTCTCAACACAGGGACATCAAAACCTGTCAAAAAACAAGTAACATATTTAAAAAGAGCACTAGAATTTCCTGGAGCAAACCGAGAAGTTCATGCGAGTCTCAAGCCCTGGATTATAGTAGTGAACATATCTTTCCCCACAATCTCTCGTAAGTTGGAGTCCTTTAGTGGACTAGCCACATTAATCATAGCTCCACTAAAAACCGAGGGATGGTCCAAAGTTGAGTTGAGCTCATGAGTTGAGCTCAATTCAGCTCAAGTCAATGCCAATTAACATAGTCAACCATAAGTCTTATAAGGAAATATTAAGTCAGAAAAATGTTATTCTTTGGTGAACTTGAAATTTATGAATTTAAGTATCAATGGTTCAGAGAAATTTCTATTTTTTGAATCTTTCTAATGTAATTTATACAATTTCTAGAATTAGAAGTTTGTCTGAACCCCTAGAAATTTTTGGGCTTTATTGATCCCAAATAAAATGGGAATATTGAAGTTCGAATGAACCTAAAATTTCTATTGTACATTTCAACATTTTAACATTTCAATAATTGACCAGAAATATATAAATAATTCGAAACACTGATTCACTTGTTCATTCTTTAGGGTTTACAGAGATGGGAAGTAAGGAAGACAAAAAATCTGTAAGTAGTTCTAGCATACAAAAATGTGAGAATGTTAATTTTATTTCATTACCACAATCTCTATATTACATGTCTGGTCCTTATTATCCATCCGGGAATGTCGAGACCATTGTCACTATTGATAAAAATGCTCCTGTTACTTCTGAAACAACAATCTAGAGCAAGAGAAAAGAAGAAATGAATAGCACAATGGAAAGCACTAATAAATCCACTCTATAAACCTTTCAATGGCTTTTGTAATCCACTAAAATATTAAAAAAAAAAGTAAATTTTTTATATATATCTTATTCCTTTTGATATGTTTTGTCTTTACAAAGATATATGATGAAGAAAAATCAAAGAATTAAATCTATATATGATTTTGGGATTGAAAAGTAATCTTGCAAAAAGGCATACTCGCGTGCCTATATGTATTTGCCATTATTATATATAGCAGGCCAGCTATATAAAATAAGGCTACATATTAATTATATGCTAGTTTCTATCTTCTGAAACCCTATAGCCACTTGTCTCTCATAGTAGATTGTAATTACTAAGACTAACAATTATCATTCAATATAGTGTCATGTCATAATAAAATATCATTCCCGAGATTGAAATATAGTATATTAATCAAAGAATTCTTATTGCTGGGAAGTTTAATTCTTCTTGTGTGTTGCAATGGTTAGGAAGAAGTTTACTTTTGGTCCCGGAGGCCTCTCATATGAGTCTTCACCTCCATCTCAAATCTCAACCAATAATCCACCTTCACCTTTATGTAACAATCCTCTTTTTCATTTTGAGGGCTGTTGTGAGACTCTTCCATTTGCGACCTCAAGTGCAACTGAACAAGAACTCCTTCCTTATGATGTTGTTAAAAGAGTTGAATTGCCTCCAATGCTTCAAGAGCGATGTCAATATTTTCTTCAAGATCTTGCTTCAGATATGGCAAGGGAGCTTAATGTAGATACATATTATCTTCAATATCCTATATGCAACTTTTATTTAAACAAGACAGATGGTTGCATAGGTTTGGTAAATTTTATTGAGCATTGTCGCAAATGCCCAAGAGTGGGTTTGGAAGGTGTGCACGTGTGGATGTATAAGAAAATCAAAAAAGAATTAAAAACACACAGCTATTATGATTTCATGGTAGAAAACAATATTCTATTGGTGAACACTACATCAGTAAGTGCTGAATATACCCTTTAATATAATGTGAAAGTCATGCATAATTTTTTCAAAAGTTTAATTCTTTATGAGTAAAGTGGAGAATCTTATATTTTCAAGAATGATATTATTCTAGCATGTATAAAGATATTATTATATATACAAGTGGTTCTAACACTGTTATAATTCTAAAGTCCTATTTTTGAGACTGACAATTTAAACTTTCAAGAACCCCTAGATCTTTTCTTAGTATAAATATCGACAAGGGATGCTTTCAACATTGAAATTTCAGTTTGTTTAGAGTGTAGGAATGGCTAGGGAAAATGCTATTGCTACTCGCACTTGACCCTCATGCATTTCATATGAGTCTCCACCTTCGTCTCTAACTTCTACCAACATTCCACCCTTTCCTCTACATAACAATTGTTGTGAGGTTTTTTCTTTTGTAGCCCCAAGTGTGACTGAACAAGAGATCCCTCTTCCAGATAATGTTCTAGATGTTGCTACTAAAGATGGATTGCTTCATGTGCTTCAAGAGCAATGCCAAATGTTTCTTCAAGATCTTACTCCCGATATGGCTAAAACTTTTGAAATAATGAACACATATTATCTCCAATGTCCCATCTGCTACTTTTATTTAGATAAAACGGAAGGCTGTATGGGTCAAAAAAAATTTCTAGAACACTATCACAACTGCCCAAAAACTGGTGTGGAAGGTGTGCATAAATGGATGTATAAAAAAATCAAGAAAGAGTTAAGAACACACAATCATTATCATTTCATGATGAGAAACAATATTCTGTTAGTAAATCCTACATCCACAAGTGCTGAATATGGTATTTTTAGGCCATCCTACTAAAAATTCTAGCCACTAATAATTCTTACACTATGATATTATCCATCCCCCCCCCCCCCCCTCTAGCCTTTTTTTTATTAACAAAATTGTATTACCTATAGATAATAAATTGATAATACTAAAATTTGACAGACTGACACTGTAACTTTGTCATCTCTAACACTGACACTGTCTCTGTCACTGACACTATCACTGTCGCTATCTGCTACACTGACACTATCAATGTCACAATCATTATCACATTGACATGTGACATATCTTTTTCATTGCAAGTGGATGCATTCAATTTTCTTTTAATGTATCATTAATAAATAGATTTTTCATACCACTCCTCAATTTACACATTGCATATGATGTGCCATGCATACCTAGAAAGACTTCTAGAAAACTAAATAAATATTATTTATAAGTTTTTAAAACATCATAAATTACCTCCTAGAAGCAACTGATAGAGAAGGACGAAAACCTCTAAGATGGCGTTTGAAGAACTCATATTCTTCAATCGCAAACACCAATTTACCAGAGTCATGTGCTGCTTCGACCATCAAACCACTACCTGCTATGTAATCGATGACAACACCCCTAGTTGGGCAATAAAGCTCAAATAGGACATGCATTGCCGATGGAGATTGGAACCAATACCCAGACAATGTGTTGCGGATGTCGTCATCTACGAGATTTGGTATGATGTCAGTAAAGCTATCATACAATGGCAAAACCCTTGCAGCATGCTCGTTATCACGAAAACCGTCATTTTCTCTTCTGCAGAACGCATGGTAGGTCCACATCATAACCTGAATAATAAAACTTTAGAAACAACAAAAATAGAAGATGATTTCTTACCTTCTCTGGCATGCCTAAGACACCTTTTGTCTCGACCCCAACACTATCCATGATGCACCCGGAAGAGAACCTCTTGAAGTTGACTCAACTTGCATACCTCATAAGGCAGGACATCCAATGGGGGTCATTTGGGAGAATGAAGGCAACTTGATCGGTTGTGTGAAGGAGAATTGCTGCCAAAAGGAATGCATCCTGCAAATGGTCTTTAGTCAGGTTGTTCCAACTTGGGACATCACCATTAGGGTCTGGAAGACCATCTGGCATGTCAAAGAGCATGAAGTTTGTGCTCTTGAGTGGTCGCCTATGGATCTTCTAACAAAAGTGCTCCCACTTTTGCCAGATAGCCATATTCTCAGCATCCTCCTCAAAAGATGCCATGAATGAACTGTAAGAGCTAATAAAGATCCCAACTTCACCACGGAATGCCACTGGAGAAACAAGGCCAATCTAGGGGGAGAAGACAAAGATAAGATTTGAACTTAAGAAAAATTTACATACCGTCATGTGGTGTGTGGTAGATGTAAGTTCCTCCAAGTCCTCTTCTTGAGCATCAAGACGAGCTGGAATGAAGTTACTCCCGATAGTTTTTGCTGTAACCATTTTGAGGAACTAAGAAAAGGAGAGAATTAAAAGAAATATATTTCGAGAAGTTCCTCGGTTACGGGGATGTCTTGGACGATCATCATCATTGTTAACTAATTCCTCCAAATGTGGATTTGCACGCTTTCGTCGAGATAGAACTTCTTTGACATTCTGGTTCTCTTGCTAGACTTCGTCTGGAGGAATTTCTTGCAAGTTGTTCTCACTGCCATCTTCACTCTCCTCGCCATTGGCACCAACAGTGTCAACATTCTCATGGCCATCATCTCGGCACATCCTCATTGTTGCCTCTTGCAGCCTCTTGGTGGGTTAGTGTATAATCTGGCATCTCCAATTCCCAAGGACAAACTCGCTTTATTGGTGCTGGAAATTTCATTGTTGTCGGGTACATGCCTCCATCTCTCACACCATACCTCAGGAGTCGTGTGCATACCGGTGTTTTGAGAGGAACACCTCTATATTGGAGATACCTATAATAAAATATAAATAAATTAAGTATAGTTGAGAAATTGTATGTTATATAAAAGCCGCTCGACGCATGAAGTAAGGTTGGCCAAGTTATTTATCAAATGGAGTCGTGCTTGTGGCCTTCTTTGGCAACTAGTCCTCTCCGAGTCTTGTAAGCTCAATGGTGATGAAGTCCTTGAATGGAAGCTGCTTAGGATCATTCCCCTATGAAAGGCACTAGAAACATCTCCCCTTCATATACAATTTGTGAAATGTAGATGGTCCTCCTCATCACAGTCTCCATCATACTGTCCAAACCTTTTTCTCCTTCCCTGAGTCTGCTATTGAGGTCGTTCAGAATGTGTATCTGTTCCTCATATATAAGCTTTGACTTTGAGATGTTGTAAATAATCTCATCTGGAGTCTTGCCCACTAAGAAATAACTTTTGTTTGTAACCTTCATGTAAACACAAACAATACTTACTTTCATGACAAGCAATCTCTGTTATAATATCAAACCACTCCTTTGGGCGTCGAGGGTCAGCCACACTAAGTAATTTCTTTACCTTTGTCTTCTTTGTGTTGTTGATTTTCTTGTCAATTGCAGCTAAATGCTCCAAGAGTTCTTGATCATTTTCAACTCGATGTGATTGTGCATATGCATCTTGCTTAACCTTCACCAATGGCTGAAGATAACACAAACATTCTATGATAAGAAGTATACTTGGAAGAACATACCTTACTCCACACAGCTATCATAAAAGCCACTGGATTCTTGTACCATCTATTGGCATCTTGACGACCTCGTTGATGCCGAATAAGTGATGCTAAATCATCACCATAGTGGCTGCGGCTGCACCCTTGTCGAGATTGGCAAGAAACCGGATCTGCTAAATATCATGTACTACGCTTTGTTTCTGCATTACAAACTATCCCAACCTGCAAAACACAAATTCTTAAAAGTGATTGAAGAGGGAGAGGTACTTACACATTAGTTTTGTGGCAAGCTATCACAAGCCTTGCCACATCTAAAGATTCTCTCACGTGTACATGTCCAATTGGAACATTGATGTGATAGACAGGATCATCTTAGAAGCATTCATTGATGCACTTCATCCACGCACACTAGCAATGATTCCCGTCGATAATGTAGAACATTTTCCCCACAAATTGTTGAGTCTCAGAATGGCTCATAAGCATGTTGTCAAATTTGCGGGACTTCATTTTCCAAATGTCATCCCAAACCCTCTCGATTTCCAGTGACACCGAGAGGGTATTTGTAGTTCCTGGCTTGAAGACCGAAACAAGGAACATATCTATGTTTGTCCCAAGGCCATTCTGTTTGTACAGACTATAGATGTCCATGTTGATAAAGTGCGGTGAAGCAGACCGAACGATGCTTGTCTGAGTGAATCGACATAGTGGGATTTCTCGGATCATGTCTCTTGGGCCTTCCCACTTGAGAGACTCCAGAGTCGTGTGAATGGCCTTCTCTTTAGTTCTCAAAATTGTCTCTTGGAAGTGCTTGTTGACAATGTGTTCAGGTAGCTCCACTTCTCTTTCAGCTTCAGCTACACCTTCAGTAGCACTATTATCAGATCTAGCCCTAGGCTCGGGCCCAACACCCCTGTCAAGCACACTTGGGCACTATGTAAGCAACTAAATTTTTCCATTCTACTTTAGTCACTTAACCGCATCTCTGACCACTTGGAGGAGTCTCATTCACAACCTCCATAAGTCCCATTCAGGACTTGGGGTTTGCTAGCCCTGAGAATGGCATCCATGCCACTCAACCTTTGCACTTGGTCCAAGTGCTCCACATGTCTAATCCATGACTGACACCCCAAGGTACCACCGACATATGAGCCCGTTACACTAGGCCACGCTCATTCACCTTGGTCACATCGGTGGTCTAACACCACCTGCATTGCAATCCCATCTCTCCAAGATTGAGTCATTCGCCCATGAGTGGTCATCCCAGATCCACTCCTTAGCATCCTTAGGATGCCCGCAAACATGGGGAATAGCCTTCCCCAATATCTCCATTCTGGTCTCCACCAAGTCTCTTTCTATCCTTGGCCATGTTTGCCAACACTGCCACTGGATCAAGGCCCACGGGCCTGACCACTAAGTCCCACTGTCCTCTAGGACTTCCTCACTATGTGACTATGTCCTTGGTCACCACACCAGAGGGTTACTCCTCTTCCTTTTCACAGACTGGGACTTTGGGATAACATTTCGGAACACCGTGGCCCTACACGGGCCTTATAGGTACTCTCCCCGCCTTCCGCCTTTAGGTGCTCTAGCCATTGGCTTAGAGCGAGGTTCCATTGAGCCACACCAGGTATCTAAGTAGGTAGTGCCACCCACACTTGGACTGGAAGCATCGGCCAGTCGATATCCCGGGGGAACTAGAGCCAGCTCTTGAACACTTCACCAAGCTACCCCACTTGCTGGTCCGTATTCACTCTAATTTTGGACTTCCCAGTGGTTATCCTATCACCCAACACCTGGGTGCAGCCTTCCTGGTCCAAACTAGCCTTTCCTGGCCAAACTGGCTCCACTGGAGTCCTCCCCCTACTATACTTTTGGAGCTCACCAAACCCCCTAGGGTCTGAGAGACAAACGCTTTGGGCTTTCACCCTCTCAGACTCAAACTTGGACTTGGACTCGAACTCGGACTCGGACTCGGACTCGGACTCGGACTCGGGCTCGGTCCCGGTCTTGGTCTTGGTCCCGGTCTCGGTCCCGGTCTCGGTCTCGGTCTTGGTCTTGATCTTGACTTCGGACTCCATCTCGGGTCCTTCTCAGACTCCATCTCGGATTCCATTTCAGGTCCATCTCGGACTCCATCTCGGACTCCATCTCGGACTCCATCTCGGGTCCATCTCGGGTCCATCTCGAACTCAATCTCAGGTCCATCTTGGGTCCATCTCGGGTCCACCTCGGACTCCACCTCGGACTCCATCTCGGACTCCATCTCAAACTCCACCTTGGACTCCATTTCGGACACTTCCACGTGTCATGTTTTGGTCCTCTTGTGTCCCCTTTTCTAGAGACTCACTCATGGCTCACCTCGTGCTTGTTCCTCAAGCACTTCGTTGGGAGTTCCACTCCCACTCTCGACCTTTTCAAGTTAGAGTTTTTAGTCCAAATGTGTTATGCTCGTTTAGCTTTTGCTTTAGCCACTACCACATGGTGCCCTTTTGGCTCCACTTTGGGGCCTAGGGATTTTGTGTCTCACAACTCCACCACCCATAGATGAAGTTCGATGTCCTCATCGAACGGTAAACCATTTTTATAAAGTAACACCAACATGTATTACCCTTTCCATCCTTAGCACCTAGCCAATATTCGTCAATGGTATGACACTGAAGGCTCACCATGCCTTCTCCATCCTCTAAGGCGCATAACCTCTCTGATATAGAGACTCAATCGACCACCTATGGTGGTTCTTTCCCTTTCATTGGTTTAGTTCTTGCTAAACCTATTAGAGGCACCTCTTCTATCTCAATCCCACTACTCACTCCTGAGTAGCATCAGTTCCCATTGATATATACTCGCACTCTAGAACTTTTAAATTTGACTTGTCAAAGTCAATTTCCTAAGTGTCTCCGACACCTTGCATTGCACATATTGCGCAACTCCACTTCCCATCTTTGGAAGTTCTCTATTTGAGAGCACCATCATCCTCTTTCCCATTTTGTGCAACCTTTGGCACTAAGTTCCAATTATCCTAATTCATGCTAGGGTTGTCCACGTCCCTATCATTTGGCTACTTTACCGCTCCCTGCCTTTGAGCTTCTCCTTTCGCCAAATCGGAGCAATTGGGAATCCATCCATGGAAATGCATTGCCTTTCCCACAATTCATTAGCACCCAACATATTAGTGTTCTTGGCCTAACTTTGCATTTTGGACTCTTTCCCATGATTCCCATGGCTCTTTTCTTAGCCACTAGTCTTTTGCTCTTATCCTTGATTGCTGCACCCAGCAACATCAGATCACTACCTCCATTCTCGAGATATCCTTTCGGTTCTATGGCAAAAACTCTACTTTGCTAAGTCCAGAGGGTGCTCACCCCTAGTAGGTCTTTTTAGCATTTTCTGCTACGGGCTCCATCCACGGCCCAACTTGTGCGACCCTCCCATGGGTCTCTCCTAGAGACTACTTTCTTGGACTTACTATACCATCGTATTAGCATAATTGATTTCCCTTTAGGTGTCCTTCCCACTTGGTCACCTTGACCAAGTCATACCATTATCAATAGTTCAAATCAATATTTTGAACTAAGAATCATATTCCTTAACCCAAACAAAGACTTTGTCCTTGTTTAGCCATAAGATCACTTAATGATCTCATCTTGACCCCTTATCAGATCCACCAATAAGAACTAGGTCTTCCAGACCTTTTTTTTTTTTTTTATTTGTTGACTATGACCCCGGGGGCATCCCCCACACTTGGCGATGCGCCTAAGCCAGCCCTTCCGGCCAAGGATCCATAGCAATTGAAACTGGGTGTCCCCATCTCATTCACCACGTCCTTGGTGCCCTTTGCACCAAAGTGTTCAAGTTAGATATGCCGAGCTTTCACTCTAAATAATCTAACCGTGCATCACGACTCCAGGGCATCCCCAACTTGGCGGTGTGCCCAAGCCAATCTCCTCATTGAGAGTCCATGACCACCAAAATATGAGTGTCCTCATATTCCAAACCATCACCATGCCCTAGTGATTTGGGACTCGAACCCAAGCACTAGAGGGTTGGGACTCGAACCCAACCTCCGTATATGCATCTATGAAAGGCATCATCCAAGATGCCTAGCGTGACTCCCCACG